TAAAAGCTGTGTTTGTGGTGTAAGAAATGTCCACATAAGACACATTGTGTACCCACACAGAAGAGGAAGATGTATTCTATAAGTTCAGATGCTGTTAATTGAATTAGCGATCAATTATTTTAAGCCCCCTCTCTCTCTCTCTCTCACACACACACACACACTTTCTCACTCTCCCACCTTCTATTGTCATGGTGATGAGCTGTTCCTTTTCTACCTGTTACTTACTCTCCTCCCTGACTGACAGGTCATTCAACCTGTCCATCAGGTTTCATTTCCTCCCGCAGGACTCAAGCAGGAACGGTCACACCTCAAAAGTTTCCCTGTTACCAATGATGAATTCCAACAATAAATATCTCAAAAAACAGATTTAGCGGGTACTCCGGTGTGGAAAAATGTAAAATCCAGATTTCTATGTGTGATGAGTTGACTAATGCAGATATTTTTTAATTGAATCAAGTCTACTTTGGCTATACTTTTAAAATATATTTTACACACTCACTCTCTACTCTCTCTCTCATACACACACACACACACATTTTTTTTATTAATAGAAAGAGTTTTGTGTGATGTAGTGTGTAGCAGCCTTCCCAGTGTATTATTCTATTCCAGATATATTTACATAAATGTATCTGTGGTTTGGACACCTAAAGACAATATTTTTAATGTATTCATTTTAATAAATAATTTAATTCGATTAAAATGAGTTTGTATATTGATTAAACCGACCTCATACTGATCATTCATCATTTCCCTTATCTAAATCAAATCTAACCACATGGGTGCTTGCACGTCCCATCCGTATTTCATGTCCATGTTTAATATTTGGTTTAATCTCACTGTGACATGCTTTCTGTTGAGTAAACTAAGTGTTTGTGTGTTTTGAGGGGGCTAGAAAGTTCAGTGCTTATCTAGCCTTGGACCGGAGTCTTTAACGGACCACTGAACTCTTTGGATTGTGGACCCTGGCTGTGTATTTTAGATAACTGTACCTCTGTAGCGTGGTGACTCATGAACACAGGTTTCAAAAGATCTCCAAAATTCCAGTCACGAAACAGGAGATTTCTATCAAGTAACTGTGAATGATTAATATGTCTTGATGTGTATAGAGTTTGACATGTATATGCACTGTTTAAAAGAAGCCAGCTAAAGTGAAACCAGGAGTATTCACTGCATAATGGAAACCGAATCTCAGCAGCTGTGGGTGAATGGGTGGGTGTGTACTAATATGTTTTTGACAGCAGTAATAAAATGTGGTCAGACACACAGGATTCCAGTACAGTAAAAATCATTTAATTCAATAAAATAGTATATAGCAGTAGACCAGTTGTACCTTTATCATTTTTATAAGACTACTTCACTGCGTTTCCAATACTGTTACAATGAGTTGCATCATACCTCTGCAGTACAACTCTTCCCATGACAACCACTGCCCCAGATATGGCGAAAGGAATTTAAATAACAGAATATTAAACAGTAGATATCTCACTTTAAAACCCGTACAAAAATACTTTACAGACAAAATACATGACAGGGTTTCCAGATTACCAGAGTTATGCCGAGCACACGGTGGGATATTGCGCAATCCAGGCGCACAGTCCACTTTCATGTTTTTTTCTCGGTTGTAAACGCGTCAAACGAGCGATCGCCCGTTTTTAAACGAATCACAGAAAACTTTTGTTGTAAATTCTGCACTCTTGAAAGTCACTGACAGTCACTAAGCACCGCAGGAGTCCCGTCAGCACTGGCCGGTGGCGGAGAGCAGGTTGCGCAGCGTCGCCAGCTCTCGCGACAGCTGCTCCACGCGCTTCTGTAACCGGTCGTTCTCGGCCGCGAGCTCCAGCACTTTGTGCTGCGTCTCCATGTTGCGCATTTTGGCTTTGTCTCTGCTTTTGCGGACGGCGAGATTGTTCCTCTCGCGCCGCTGTTTGTACTCGTCGCTGTCCTTGTCCACCCTCTTCTTTCCTTTGCCGCCAGAGGCCATCTTGCCGCCAGACTGAGGTGATCTTCCCTTACCTGGCGGCGCAGGTGTACCTGGCGGACTCGAGCAGGAGGAGGACGCGGTGGAAATGTTACCCAGGCTGCCGCTAGGAGCGTTCTGGTACTGCAGATACGAGCGCATGTCAAAGCCCCCGGAACCATCCATTGGCGGCTCTTCGTGTCGCCAGTTAGTTTTGGCAAAGCTGCCCAGAAAGTCCGGGCTGAACACGGCGTCTATGCGCGTCTCCTGGAGCTCCGGATACGCCAGCTGGTTCGAGTCCCGCTCTGTCAGCGAGATGTAGTTCTTGTAGCTCTGTAACGCCGCTCTCTTGCTCTTGTTTTCCTCGGAGAGAAAGTCGTTGTAGATTCCCAGTGCGCGGTGCCGGGCTTCGTCTTGGCTGGCCAGATGCTGGTACTGGGGCGAGTCCAAATAGATGCTGAAGTCTATGGCTTTCTCGTGCTCAGAAATGTCATGAAGCTTCGTCATGGAGCTGTTCGTAGGCTGTTTGCAAATGCCGTCGCTGATCGGGCTGCTGCTGGCGTTAGTGCTGTGGAAAGCGAGGCAGTCCCCCTCGTAAAAACCGGCCACTTCCATGGATCTTAACACCCGCCGGATTGCGGCAGGACGGAGATCAGGGTCTCGCCTTCCCCTGATAACTTCGCAAGTGTCACCGACGGCAGCGCAAAACTCACGCGAAAATTCGAGAGTCTTCCGTCGGCAGAAATAACTAGATGACTTTTGTCTAGTTATGTGGGTGATAGGTTGCTTGCTGGAGAGCTCGAGTCAGTTCCCATGCCTCGGAAAGGGGTGTTTATAGGGGTGAGAGGGGGCGGTGATTCTCTGTTTGGTGTGACGCGTTTTTCTGGTTTTGACCGCAGACACTCAGAACTTAAAGTGGGGTCTGTGAGCACACGAGTGAATAACAATAGAAAATAAACACGGCATAAACAGATACGAATGTGCTGAGTTTAGGCTTTTATAAGGAACACCTGCTTAACCGTCTACCAAAAGATTTTGAATAAATATAGATTCAGAATTAGATTTATTGGCAAGTATGTTTTTACTTGTAAGGACTTTGTCTCGGTGAAGCTTCAGGTGAAACAGAAAAAAAAACACTAGTTAAAAAAGAATATACATACATGCATATATACAGTATGTACATATACACACACACACACAATATGCTATTTACAAATAAGGCATGTACACAACACACATGAATAAGATATGTTGAAGTAATTGTATAATTTATCATTATTTCTTATTTAAAAGTTACGCAATATATATTTGTATTTATTTTATTAGTTTATTTATGTGCTCTACATAACTCTACAGACAGAACTCTACACAACTTTTATAGTAAACTAATAAAATAAAGAGGGTACAGCAATAAATGCAGGTTTTTGGAGGAGCGGTCAGTTGCTGTTGTCATGGACAACGGTCATTATTCATCAACTTTTGTAATTTGACTATAATAAAGTCTTTTCGAGAGCTGTGTAGTAATTAAGCAACAGGGCACCTGAGGATGTGTCTCAGTCATGCCTAAAGGCAGTTGTTAGCCATGACTATATTTACAATATAGCACAACCTTGAGAGAGTTGCCCTTTTTTTGGTAAGTGGTTAGCAAATAATAAAAATACTAGGATTAAAAAAAATATTATTAGTAAAGCTTTTTTTAAGCAAATTCATTAAATGTCTTTCTTAAAGTTGAATATATATAGTGCCTGATATAACAGAAAAAATAAGATTTTCTATAGGGGCTGAACTTGTCAAAGTTGTTACTATATTACTGAATGTAACATGTCTGGAATGTTGTATTGACCAATCAGTTGCTAAGACCGCCGGAAGGGGCCGTTTCATTTAAAGGTCTGTGTTTTCCATTGGCTTCTATACAGGGCTGTCATCCTGCAATATGATCCACACTTTATATTCACACATTAAAGTTAGCTAATCAGTTTTATTCACATTACTTGATTAATATCACATCATATCATTGTCTAACCTTCAGTACCCTCATCAGTAATTTCAATTTCAATTTGACTATTACAGTCATGTTCCAGAGGCAGCAGGCGTTGGCTGCTGCAATAAACTTGATTATGCCTCGTCAGTGATGTGGTTAGTCTGCCATCTAGTGGGTATGTGAAGGATTGCACTGCAAGTTGATTAACTTAATTTCATCATTGTCCTCTAGCTTCACCGTCTCTCTCAATATTTCCTTTTCTTATTCAGTTCCTGAACATCCTCCATCATAGTGCATTGTCTTGCAAGAACTGACTCATTAAGCAGTCAGCACGTAATGAAATTATATAAATTGTCATGTCAAATATTTCGAATATTGTGCATTTATTATTATTTTATGTATAGTTTATTTATTATCATTATATCATATTTTATTGTACACATTCCGTTACTTTTTATAGAGCGCCAGCGACACAAATCCTACATCAAATGGTTGTATTGTGATTTTGGACTGTCCTCTGTCAGAATTCTTGACCGAATCTTGACTGTATTCAACATTTATGACTAGTGTCATATGGACTGTTTGGACCAAAATAAAGGCGAATAAATTATGACTGATCTTTTTATTTGGAAGAAATATTTTCATTTTGAACGAATTAATTCTTTGTCTTGTAAAGGTCTGTTTTTTGTTAGATAGACATTGTATTTCGCATTTACTCCTTTGACTTGTGAAATGACATTTCACCGGTACTTGTTTTGCAAACTAAAAATACTAAATTTAATTGGATTTTTAATAACATTATGAAAAATATATATTTAGACAAAGCACAGAAAAATACCACGATCCATATACACCACACGTTTACATCAAAGTAACTAAAATTAATCGCCGTCAGTGTAGCCTGTTTTCTGATTGGTGGCATCCGGGTGGGGTCAGGACATTCTTGCTTTCTAATTGGTCGTCATGTTTGTTATGGAAACGTGTTCTAATTGCTGATTGGATGAATGCTGCAGAAGGACGAAAGCAATTGGTGGAGGGAGAGACGCGGAACAGGGCGGACAGAGGCGTGGAGTTGAGGATGCGGAATTAACGCATTCGCTGCGCCCGAACCGGACTGAATATGGCGAGCACCGAGAGCAAAAGAGGGTCTTCGGAAAACTTTCACACAACCGAGCCAAGTGGATCGGACCAGCCGGGCGCGAGAAGGGGTCCACAGCATGCAGGTGCTAGAGAGCTCGCGGAGTTATACTCGCCAGGTGAGAATTTAAACCGGTTCTTTACGTTTCCCGTCGGCGCCGGTATCCGCCCGCCTCTGCCCACACCGAGGATTGACCGGACTGCCAGCCACGGGTTTCCCGTAGACAGCCCCGGACAGCACGGTCACGGAGCCGTAGCATTCGCCTCGTAATCTAGAGTAGTGTGTTTTGAAGGTGCACGTATATATTCAGCGTGCATATTCAGTCTGGGGTCTCTGTGGGGATAAACACGACGGAGTTATTACTGTAGCATATAGGGATGGATTAATGAGTGATGTTTATGTTACAACGAGTTTGAATGAGCGCAGCGCCCTATTAACGTCAGCTATAAGAGTCGAACATAATTGTCTGTGGCAAATTTGACCAAAATGGGTTATTAATCATGCATTGTGTGCTTATCTATCTCTTATAGTCCCAAGGGAGTAATTCTGTGCCAGAAATAGTCGTGGTACTTGTAGCTGTCAGATACTGACAGGAGATCGCTTTGATTTCTTGATGACCACATAGAAGCGTTCAGTAATTTTTTTTATAGTTTAAAAAGTTGTACACAAAACATACGGTATTTTTGAGAAATAACATTAAAATAACTTACAGACTAAAAGCTGTCTTTTTCTACAAGGAGCGGGTCGCCCCTTCATGGTTGCCGCTACTATTTACATCACATGGCTAATTGTGCTAAGCAACGGACTATTTTTTGCATATAGCTCATTTAGCAAGTGTTTTATGTGATTTACCAAGCATAACCGTAACAGTTATGGGGATACCATCCCTACAAGAAATGTAATGGTAACCAAACAGTTTATGGTAGCCATTGACTTCCATAGTATTTTTTTTCCATATTATTGAAGTCAATGGCTACCGTCAACTGTTTGGTCACTAACATTATTCTAAATATCTCCTTATACGCAAAACAGAAGAAAAAAACTAATACAGGTTTGGAACAACTTGAGGGCAAGTAAATGATGACAGAGTTTTGAATGAACTATCCCCTTAATGTAAACAAAACAAGTAAAGCTAATTTTAAAGGTGCATTCAAATGAGCAAAAAAAAGTCTATTGTCCATCGTCAACAGTATGGCCATATATGAAGCACAGCTAACTCAGAATTCAAAATAGCTTTCTGTTGGTCAACGCAGTGAATCTGTGACCAGCTTGAAGCCATTGCGAAATCTGCATGGGGACATCTTTCGTCTTCACTCGACATTTCTATTTGTGTGGATTCCGGTTGAAACGAAAATGTGATGCTAAATATGACCGAACCTTAACAGCATTGTCAGAACACACAAAAAGATGGCAAACATCCTAGATGTGAAGCGGCAGCAGTTAGTAAACTTAATGCATCCAAGCCAATAGGTATAAATCCAAAACTGGCACTATTGAATATTGAAAAACCTATTGAAAGCACCTATAAGGACGGTGTGGGTTTGACTCTTTGTTTTTATCTTCATAGGAATGTGTTAAATATGAATAACAACAACAACAACAAATACTATTTTATAGTATTAGCACAACAGGTTCACACAAAACCAAAAGCCCACAATAGATGAATAGATTGTGCTCAGTAAACCTGAGTGTACCCCGGAAGGAGGAACTTCATCAGTACCAGCAGCGAACAGTGGACATTGTGTAGGGGACAAATGATGTATACGAACACAAGAACAGAACAGGAACGGAAGCAAAACACAACGTCACAGTAAGCAGAGCAGTGCGAGGGTGTGGTAGCTGTGAAAGCTATGAGTTTGTTGGAGTTGTTGTGGGTGGGGTGCTGCGGTTCAGTGTCAAATGGAGCAGGACTGATGTGGATTTCTGGGTAGCATTAGATTTAGTGCTTCTATAAATTCACATCAGTTTCCTCGGATAGTCTTTTTCTGTTTACAGTCACTATGGTGATTCAGGGAGTGTTTTGACTCTCAGTATTTCAGTATCGGATTAACACTGAATGAATCCGTTACCTTGGAACAAACATGGCAGTATTTCTAGATTCTGTCAGCTGTGGTGTGAATCATGTTTTTTGGTAATTTCAGATATTTTCTGCAAAGTGATTCTGCTCTGAATTCAGGGCAAAGGTGAATTTGCCCTTGGCACATAATTGTAGCTGTGAAATGAAACAATGTGACATTGAGATCATTGCTTTAATACAAACTCATAGCATATCTATCTGTCTCATTCATCTATTTAAATATTAGATGCTTTCGTTACAGTATCTACGATAATGAAGCTGTATTGGAATATTAGCTGCCGGTATAGTTACTTTCTTCATGTGACTGTAATGTTGATTTGTATTTAGCCACTTGTCCTCTTGGAAAACCATGGGAGATTTAGTTTTCTATAGGAAATGGGGTTTATTTGGTTGATTAGCAGTAGCCTAATGGGTAAGGGTTGAGGCTGCTAGCACACTTTAGAAAAGCTACCTCAAGGAGACACTCTGGAGATACATATATAAAGAATATTTACAGAGTCCAACATTGCCATTTAAGTAAATGTATAAATACTCACCAAAGCCATTTTTTGTTCAAATTTGGTGCATTGCTGTTATTTTTGGACCCTGTTGACTAAGTTTGCCATTTAAAAGGTCTTGACTCTCTTATCTCTTTCTCACAGGAAAAAGATGTCAGGAATGGATCAGTTTGCTTCTTTGCTTTACCCTCATGGCCTTCAACTTCTGTTACCTAGTAACATACTTCCACCTAGGACACACCTGGTACATCCTCCTGGGCATCGGTTGGTACAACAAACAAACCCACATATACACGTCAATGTTTAATAAAGTAGTGGTAGGCACAACAAAGAAGTTGCAAATTACAACTTGGAAATTCCCAGTATTCAAGAAAGCTATAAGCTGCTAGAATGATTCTCTGTGTGACTTGCAACTACCAAAAACTACTTTTTAATGAGAACTGAAATACATTTTGGTTTATAATAGGATTTAGAGATTGATTTAATTCTCAGATTCTGCTGTACGTGTGTGTGTGTGTGTAGTGGCAGGGATCCTGACAGCAGACTTTGCCTCTGGTTTGGTCCACTGGGGTGCTGACACATGGGGTTCAGTGGATCTGCCCATCGTTGGGAAGGTACAGGAGTGAAACAGTCTTTTTCATGTTATTAAGTGTTGCCAGAGTTATTTAAGGTAAAACAATGAATAAAATCCTTTGAGAACAAATAGATAGACTCACTGGATTTTTTTAGGACATTTAAGATTTGCGTTTGTAAGTTAAACATCTTTTAAATGTATTCTAAACGTCTTTAAAAGAAAATATGAATCTCAGGTAAATATTCTCAACTACTAAATTGTACAAGCACAGTTACTTCTCTTAAAAAATTAACTTTTCCTTCATACCAGGCCTTCATTCGTCCGTTTCGAGAGCACCACATCGATCCAACAGCTATAACGCGCCACGATTTCATTGAGACGAATGGTGACAACTGTATGTTGACTATCATCCCTCTGGCTAACATGGCTGCAAACTTTTTGATGCTCTCACCAGGTAAGACGTCAGATATATTATCTGTCCATCGGAGAGACAAATGATGAACCACATTCATTTCATATCGTGCTGTTCTCTTTCTCAATCTGTCTTCAGCGGAGATCTATCGGAACTACCCCTGGTACTGTTACGTCTTTGCTTTAGCCATTTTTGTTACATTGACCAATCAGATTCACAAGTGGTCGCACACATATTTTGGGCTCCCACGCTGGGTGACGTTTCTTCAGGATTGTCACATCATTTTACCACGGAAACACCACAGAGTTCACCATGTTTCACCTCATGAAACCTACTTCTGCATTACCACAGGTACATGCACACAAACAATAAGTATTTTTATGCTCAAATCTTCCTCGCTTGATCACACTTTCTGTGGCAGTACATATCAGTGCTTTGTTTATGGTCTGTATTATGTACGCTATCATTTAAAAGTTTGGGGTCAGTAAGATTTTTTGAAAGAAGTCTCGTATGTTCACTAAGTCTGCATTTATTTGATCAAAAATACAGTAAAAACTTTAATATTGTAAAATGTTATTACAACTATATTTTTACAGCTGTTTTCTTTTATAATATATTTTAAGATGCAATTTATACCTTTGTGATGGCAAAGCTGAATTTTCAGCTTCATCACTCCAGTCTTCAGTGTCACGTGATCCTTCACCATTCAAATCATTCCAATATGCTGATTTGGTGATCAAGAAACGTTTCTTATAATTATCAATAGTGTCACATGATCCTTCACCATTCTAATATGCTGATTTGGTGATCAAGAAACGTTTCTTATAATTATCAATAGTGTCACATGATCCTTCACCATTCTAATATGCTGATTTGGTGATCAAGAAACGTTTCTTATAATTATCAATGTTATAAAAGAGCTGTGCTGCAAAAGTTCAAAAGAACCGCATTTATTAGAGATTTGTTTGTGTAAAAGTTTTTTTTCTATCACTTTTGATCATTTTTAATGCATCCTTACTAAATGTAAATATATATTTTTTCAACAAAAACAAACAAACCCCAAACCTTTGAAAATGAGTATATACGGTTCAATGATCTGACATTATTTAAAAAAAAAAACGTATCTATTAATTATATACAAAAATACATGTGGTTTATTCAAAAATTCAAAAATAAGTCATGTGGAGCAACCAACATGCACAAAAAAGGAAATTATATCATAAAGAAGACAATTATAGACCCTTGTGAGTGTGATACTGTCCAAAAAGGCTAAAAACTAATGATATTTATGAATTAATAATTTGATATTTGTAAAAAAAAATTATCTTGAAAAGAAACTTTAAAAAAAAAATAATAATAATGTTTAAGTGTACTTAATAATGTCTTCAGTGTGTAAGAAAAATGTACACCCCAAGACATTTTTAGAGACATTTTTAAACTAGTATTTTAAATTATACAATTCCAATTATATACAAATTAAAGTCAATCATACTGTTATATGTCATTGACCTAAATGTCTTTGTATGTGCAGGCTGGTTGAACTATCCTCTAGAAAAACTGGGATTCTGGAGAAACCTGGAAGATCTGATCCAGAGCCTGACAGGAGAGAAACCCAGATCAGATGACCTCAGATGGGCCCAGAAAACCAAGTAATCTTCCTCTGCCACCAACCCACCTCCCCTACCTCAGACCTGCCTCAGAACAAGAGGAACGGCAAGATATCAAAGCCCAAATTAGAAAGCCATCAATTCTTAGCAAAAGTTAAGTGAAAGGGGGTTGACAGAGAGATTGAAAGCAATATCCCACCCCGCTCACTCTAAAGATCTAAATCCTTGTTGAAAACTTGAGACTTTTGTGAAATGTTTAAAACTCTTCAAGGTGTAAAAAACAAGCTAATTTAAAAAGCCAATACTTGAACAAAGTGGGCTCTTTTCTGGACACCTTCTCATCCTTCAACTGCTCAAAGCTTTGCTGACTAGCTTGTTTCTGAGGGACTGGCCTCTGCTCTTGGGTTTGGCCTTTGGGACTGATATCTCTTGCTCTCACCCTTCTCTTGTTTGGGGTTAAAGTGCAGTAAAGTCAAGGCATTTTGGCTCTTTGACCACAGAGGGCTGAAAACACGTGTCTTCATCTGTTGCTTGTGTCTGAACGGACAGAGCAGCATCATATGCAGTCTTACTTCAGTACGCCTTAAAAGACGAATCACAAGAAACTTGCTTTGCTTGGCCTCATCCTTACACTTCATTCATCTTTTCATGATTAATACTTTCTTTTGAAGCACATTTGCAAATTCAGAGGTGCTGGAAGCAGTCAGCTGTTGACCAAGTATATTAGAAGTATTTCCACATAGGTCAATATTTAGGCCATGAGATCTACATTGGTGTCCTCGCGGCTCGACACTGAGATAATAACCCAACAGAAACTCAGAAAAGGCCTCATCCATTTTTATTTAGTATTAACTTAATCGTAGGGTAGGTTGATTCGAGCTTGACCAGCTGACTGACACAAACACTTTCACTCCATTGCTCGAGTTTTGGATTTGCATACATTGTTACTTAACAGTTTAATGTTGACTTTAACGCTAGCATGTTAAATCACACAGCTCGTAGTTCTTATTTAATAATAATATGAGATGCTAAAGGCAGTTACAGCATGATGAAAATGACAGAATCATCAGAACATTTAGGTGTCTAGTGACTTACAACTACTACTAACTGCTTACTTAATGAGCGTTATACACATTTTCTTTTATAAAGCTGCAATGACAATGGATTAGAAAAAAAAGATTTATTTACTTGACTTTATATTTAAACACAGCACTAGTCATATTTTTTTAATTAATAGAAATATTAAGGAGTCTTTCATTAATAAAAAAAAGATCTTTGCTCTGCTTTGAGAAGTGTTGCTATTCAAGCAATGTAGTTTAGACAGTGTTTATCGTGTGTGGTTACCATTGTAACAGTCGTCTTATAAGAGTGAGGAAATGGGAGAAGAAATGAACATTATCAAATGTAACATAATTGTGATCATTTTTGTTGTGCCATTTTTTTTACTTAAATTTTTCTGAATCAGTTAAATTATTTTTCTAACAATAACTGTTACACCATGTTTGCAAAGATAGTTATTAAGCCTTCACAAGTCATAATCTGTAAAGGTCAACCCAATCAAGTTACAGCTTTTAAGTTTTATGCTTGTGTTAATATTCATGCCAAAACCTTGTTACTGTCAGCAGCAATGTGGCAGTTGTTGTGTTTCAGTAGGTCAGTATGGTGATAGTACATGTTGTTTAGATAGGTCAGCTCGACAGAAGGTCAGAGAATGTGTTTTAGAGAGCGAATTCATTTGTCCCGAGTTGTAAAACTGTTACAAAGGAGTCAGCCAGAACTGTAAAAAAGGATATTTGAGCTGATTCAAAATGTTATGTGTTGTGTTACATCTAAATTTCCTCCTTTTCTGAATTCAGGAAGATTTGTTTAGTGGAATATTGTAGTATTTTTGACAGTCGACTAAAATCTTATATATTTCTATGCTTATACAAGATGCCAAACTTATTTTTGCTCCGCTAATAGATCTGTTGTGATGTGTTTGGTCGGTGTTTATTTGAAGAGGACACTCCGGTGGTGATTTTCTTTGTACAGGGAACTGGAGCTTAAACCAATTGCTTTTAGTAAAATGTTACATTTGTCATTGGACTCCACTAAATTTTGTATTATAAGTTTTTATAATGACATTTTTTCCTACATTCTACATTGCGCAGTGTGGACGATCAGATCATATTACATAGCTCTACTTTTTTTTTTTTTTTTTAATATACTGATCGTGTAGGACTCCACCAGCTGTAACATTTCTAAGCTTATTTCCTATTGATTGAAAATGGTGGAAGAGGTGAGGTGGAGCAGACTGTGATCCTGATGTGGTGATGCAGTGACGATTGTGCTTTTGTCTGGTTAAGCTTGTTCTGCAGGGCTAATTATTATATAAACCCACAGAAATGTAGGATTTTGCTTAAGAAATGTTACTAATTTGGTGTGCAATGTATTGTGGTAACTGAGTGATTGTATTATCAAACATGCAAGATTAGAGTGTTAAAAACCATTCCTCTGTTGAGGCTCCTTGCTTTCCATGCACAGCGCAGTAGTATGTGGCTGTGAGGAGATTGAACTAATCACATTGTACTTGCTCAAAATATTGTATTTTCTCTTAGATAACAAAGCAAAGCCAATTCCTTATTCACAGGGGTCATTTGATCAATGACCTTTGGCATTCACACTTGTTACTGAATGTTTGTTGTTACTGATTTATTGGAAGAAGCCTTTAAAACGCTATCTTGGCTGATTTTGCAATTCACCTCAAAGTTTCACATTCAGTACGTTTTTTTGTAGGACGGCTACTTGTTGAAAACTGAAAATAACGCCTTAATGCCTTTTTGTTGTTTCCTGTTTTGAAAACTTTTATGTCATTAAGTTCATATTTATAATGAAATTAATAAAGAACTGGAAATGTGTGTTGCCTGATTTGTGTTCTTAATTGTCTTAAATGCCTTAAATGTTCTTAAATCAACCCTCTACGGACACCTTGGCAATTGAATCGCCATTGGCTAGTAAATTTTTTAGTTCACTCGCCAGACTGATATATAATAAATGTTTGTAAAATGGCACAGTTTTTTAAATATCTGAAAGTACACTCTTAACATCAGTCAGCCAAGCATTATAATATGAGGATCAAGTATTATTTAATGAAAGAACTTTAGTAATTAGAATTAAAACTTGATAACCATGTTTGAATGCATATTAGTCATTTTAACTGGACTGGTGATGGTGCTTTTTTGGTCATTCAGTGTTTCTGGAAAAAAAAACTTACAAAAATACTGATAATAATGATACGAATTCTACTAATAAGAACAATATAAAACGCACCAAGGATTAATGAGCTACTGGATTCATGAATATTAATCAGGTTGTGTGCGTTCGCTCGAACTGATTTGCTGAAATCAAA